TAAATCTGTAATTTGAGGAGGGCTTGGTGGAAACAGCTTGTTTCTGTCCCACACAGTCAGCTGGGGTGGGTCAAGGGTGGGGGCTGGGAACATTTTAAGTCCTGTACTCTCACATGTCTGGGGGTTGCGGCTGGCAATTGGCTGGGGACTGTCAGTCAGAACAGCTTCCTGTGGTCTTTCTTTCTTTTTTTTTTTTTTTTTGAGTCGGAGTCTCACTATGCACTGTCGCCCAGAATGGACTGCAGTAGCCGCTCCCGGCCACCGCAGCCTCGACCTGCTGGGCTCCGGTGATCCTTCCACCTCAACCTTCCACGTAGCTGGAATTACAGGCACGCGCTACCACGCCTGGCTAATATTTTTTTGATTTATTGTAGAGATGAGGTCTCACCTGCCCAGGTGGGTCTCGAACCCGCGGGCTCAGGCAATCCACTCACCTCAGCCTCCCAAAGGCGCGGGATTACAGGCTGAGCCACCGAGCCCGGCTCCTGTGGTCTTTTCTTGTGGCTGCTCAGGACAGGGTGGTTGGATTCCAAGAATCCCCCCCAAAAAACAAAGGAGAATGATATAGAATTTGCATGAACTGGCCTCAAAAGTCACATAGTGTCACCTCCTGTGTACTTTATTGGCTGATGCAGTCACAGAGGTCTGCCCAGGTTCCAGGGAAGGGAACTAGACCCACGACTGGATGGGAGAAGTGTCAGCTTCACACAGTAAGCAAATCCTATGGGAGGCGATCTATTGAGGGGGCTATCTTCAGAAAATGCAGTCTGCCACTGATTCCCAAGCTCCACCCCCGGAAGATAACTTCCATATGTTTGGAGCAAAGCCTCAGAATCTTATTTTTGACCGGTTCCTGGGCGATTCTGGTGCACATCCAGATTGGGCACCAGCCCTGTATCCAAGACCTATGGCCTCACACTCCTGAGCCTGGGGAGATATTGTCTGCTGCCCTGGGGGACAGTGTGATTAAGGAGCCTGTGGAGGAAAATTAGCCTTATGCCAGAGGAAGACCTGAGATGCAGAAGTCCTGTTGTCTGTCCAGGCAGGTGGTGCTGCTGACATGCCCTTGTTGAAGGGAACTTTTGGGAGCTGGTGTATTCCAGTAGTCTTTCGTTCTTCCAGCCTTACATGTGTTTCTTTAGCCCTTGCTGGTTTATAGACGGTATAGTCTCCGGGATGCTGCTTTTGTGGTGTAGGTATTGTGGTGTTTGAGGCCACCTCCCCAGGGGGCTCACTGCCATTTGGTGTCTTCCCCTCACAGTTGTTCTTGAGACACAGGTTTTGTTTTACTTTCTTTTTTTTTGGTCTTTTGTTTTCATTTTTGTTGTTGTTTTTTTTTGTTAGTTGAAGTCTCACTCCGTCACCCAGGCTGGAGTGCAGTGGCATGCTCATGGCCACCCCAGTGTTGACCCGCTGGGGTCAGGCAGTCTTCTGTCTCAGCCTTACAAGTAGCTGGAACTACAGGTTGAGCCACCGAGCTGGGTTTTGTTGTTGTTGTTTTTTGTTTTTATTTATTTTTTTAGTAGGAGTCTCACTCTGACATCCAGGCTGGGGTGCAGTGGCATGCTCATGGCCACTGTAGCCTCAGCCTGCTGGGCTCAGGTTATTCTTCCATCTCAACCTTCCAAGTAGCTGGAACTACAGGTGCACACCACCATGCTCAGCTAATTTTTAAATTTATTGTAGAGATGGGGTCCCGGGCTGGTCTCATACCCACGGGCTCAGGCAATCCACTCGCCTCGGCCTCCCAAAGTGCTGGGATTACAGGCTGAGCCACTGAGCCCAATCAAGACCCAGTTTTTTAGACTAACTGAACCTAAGGAGCATTGGAGGGCCCCAGTCAGTGTGCAGAATTCTTGAGGGGAATATGGCCCCACCCCCTGGAAGTGATCTGGGGCAGTGTGTATGAGGAGGTTTGGAATCTGGCTTCCATCTCCAATTCCAGTTTTGGTCTTTGACCCAAAGCAGGTTGCATTTCAACTCAAAGCTAAAGCTTTCTCAACAACCAAGTGTGTGTGTGTAGCCTGAGATCCCCTTTTCTTGAACACACTGATTGCTGAATGGGCTGCTCTCCCTCAACAGAAAACCTACCATGGCTTCCAGTGCCCCATCTGCCCTTCAGGGCTATGTGCAATGGGCCCTTGCCCTCCACTCCAGCCTCCTGGTCCTTTCTGGAACTTGCCACGTTCTTCCACCTTTCTGGGCTTTTGCATATTGAAAGGACAGATCGAGAGTGGGAAGCCATTTTTCATCTTGTTTTGTTTTGTTTTGTTTTTTTGAGTTGGAGTCTCACTCTGTCACCCAGACTGGAGT